TTGCATAGTAACCTATTTTTATGGTGACCAAGGATGTTGAAGTTTCATATAATGGGTAATATATTGGTACTTAAATGCAGCTCACAAGTGCCTGATATTTTTAGGTTGGACTCAGGATTTGTGTTTGAGAAGTCCGAGTACAGTGAGAAGGGTAGCAGGCGTTCTTACTCTTGTAGGAGTATGTGACATTTTGTATGTTGCATGAACTTCTGTCATCATTACTTTCATCAAAACTTACTCAGCCACCTATATCCATTTCATAAACATTTTTGAGTACCTAACATATGCCAGGAAACTATATGTAAATACAATTATATACCAATTATATATATATATACACCAAGTTCTGGAATAAGTAGACTATCCCAGAGGCTCCACAAAGTCTTTAAGTCAGAGGGACATGTCATTCAAAATTGCTATCAGCTAAGAGCATTTCTTAAGTTCTTTCGATTAGCCTGAACTTGGGTTGGGCAATGTACAATGAGGGCAGATATATTCCCTCCAGAAATTCAAACTCTGGGTGTACACTGATGTTAACGTTCACAAAGAATTAACCGAACAAGTATTGAGCAAATAAAGGACTATTTCACTAGTTGAATGCCTTGTGCAAAGCAGGATCTCAGAAAATACTTACAGAGTAATTGGAAAGTAAGGGAATCATGTATGTCATGAGCTATACTTATTTGGAGGAGTGGTGTCAAAATCAGATTACTCATATTCGTGAATTTCTAGAAGGCTTCATGGAGAAAGTGGGATTTCAGTCAAAACAGATATGTTCAAAAATTATATGTTTAATAAGGTCCTAGAACTATTGATTATCAACAATGATACTACTCTGACCATTCCTCTCTGGATTAATTCACATTTGCAAAGTCCTTCATAAAATGCGAAGCCCAGAGTTGATCCCCATTTTGTAAAATCTCTTGATCCAATCTCACACTTAGTTTATTATTATTTTTAAATCCCAGACAAGGCCTTTAAAAAATATCTATGTTGGGCACCTGGGTGGCTCAGTTGGTTAAGCCACTGCCTTCGGTTCAGGTCATGATCCTGGAGCCCCGGGATCGAGTCCCACATCGGGCTCCCCGCTCAGCGGGGAGTCTGCTTCTCCCTCTGACCCTCCTCCCTCTCATGCTCTCTGTCTCTCATTCTCTCTCTCTCAAATAAATAAATAAAATCTTTAAAAAAATAAAAAAATAAAAAATAAAAAATATCTATGTTTGGGGCGCCTGGGTGGCTCAGTTGGTTAAGCGTCTGCCTTTGGCTCAGGTCATGATCCTGGGGTCTTGGGATCAAGCCCCAAGTTGTGCTCCCTGCTCAGTGGGGAGTCTGCTTCTCCCTCTCCCTCTGCCCCTCCCACCCCCACTCGTGCTCCCTCTCTCAAATAAATAAAATCTTAAAAAATAAAAAATATCTGTGTTTATCACTTCATTGACCATTTTTTTTCATGTGATTATCCAGTATAATCTGGACATCAATTTTTAGTTTTATCTGAGAAGGAACCATGTCCTTTTTTTGGTACTTCAACGTTTTAAGACTCATTCAATCGATGACAAAGCTGGAAATGATGTTAAAGATCATATGGTGGACAATGAAATGAGGCCTAGAGAATGACTTGTGGTAAATATATGGCAGAGTCAGAAAATATGATAATTTAATAAAATAAAAAGTATGTAAGAGCTCTTAATTTTTAATCTACTATTTTAATTACATAAAATTGCTTGAAAACTGGTGGATGATTTGTAGCTCAATTGTCTCATGGTGTATCTGAATGTTGTTTGTGGTTCTTAGATGTAAAAGTGCCTGCACCAACTCAGCTCAGGCTGGGTTCGCCTCCCTTCTCTCCCCTGAAACTTTCCAACAGGCATAGTAAGATGGAGGAGCTAACTCTTTTCTTTGACTAATAAATTATATGATAATCTTATCTCAAAAACTGGCTAACACAATTGGACTGACTACTGATGAATCATGTTCTTTTATCTAAAAGTTTCTCTCAAAACTTTTTAAAAAGATCATTGGCTTGGGGTGCCTGGGTGGCTCAGTCGGTTAAGCCGCTGACTTCAGCTCAGGTCATGATCCCGGGGTCCTGGGATGGAGCCCCACATCTGGATCCCTGCTCCGCGGGGGGTCTACTTCTCTCTCCCTCTGCCTGCCACTCCCCCTGCTTGAGGTCTCTCTCTCTGTCGAACAAATAAATAAAATCTTTAAAATAAAATAAAATAAAAAGATCATTGGCTTAAAAATAGATTTCACATGATCAAAATTTAGATGTAGCAATGAAATAAATCTTAGGGGAGGTGTAGAATTCCTTTGACAAATTATTTTTCTTTGCTATCCATTGCAGCCATGCCAGCAATACTGGTTTTATTTTAAACATTAACTGTACAAGCAATTTTCTGCACCTGTAAAAATGGTGCCAGGATTCAGGGTTTCGGCTTGTGCAATATTTTCATTTTGTTATTGAAAATGTGGGAAGTCCTAGCTTAGTTCCTCTGTCCTTCGGAAGGGTAAAAAATGTTGATGGAAGAAAATTATTTAGTTCTCTATTTCAAGATCAATTTTATTTATTTATTTTATTTATTTATTTGAGAGAGAGAATGAGAGACAGCACATGAAAAGGGGGAGGGTCAGAGGGAGAAGCAGACCCCCCGCTGAGCAGGGAGCCCAACGCGCCCAATTTTATAGAAAATTTGCCTACCAGATTTACGGTGTTTTATTTTCAGTGATAAGAAAGAAAGGCATCTAAAACAATATAATTATTATATTCAGAAATAACTTTTGGCGTTATCCTTTATTGTCATCACATGATTTTGAACTGCTGGCCCACTATAACTCAGCAAAAGAATGAAGATAATTTATATACACCCACACTCTCAAATTAGTTTCTTCAGAAGGAAGTGACGGTATCATTTGTGAAATAAAAACCACCAGTGTTATTACATCTCATTGGAAACCTCTGTTTACCTCTATAGATGTTTCAAATAAAGAATTTCTTAAATTAAATTAAACATAATGTAACTAATAAAACTGAATTGTCAGTCGGAAGGTATTTGCCATCTCTCTTCTAGGCAAAGTAGGTTCCTAAATTTTAATACCAAATGCATTGACGTTTTTAGATAAATATAATCACGATTAAACAATGTCATTTGATGTTAGATGGACCAAGTTACTTAAAAATTATCAAAAACAACATGAGCAAGGACTCCCCCGATCAAAAGTTCTAGGTATTAGTAAGGAGTTCTATTTGTACATGTTTTCTGTACATGAGTTCATTCAATTACTTAATTTAGGTAACTTTAAGCTTCAGTGAGCATTAATTAAATGTAATTGTGTATGGCCCGTAAACTGAAGATAAGTGTAATTTACATTTTTTTTAAATTTTAGCTTGCTTTTAAATTTTGAAATTAATGAGTCCTGACTTGCATAATATATATTTAGTAATCCTACTTTAACTTTCATATACTAATCAAATCAAACTAGGAGTACAAGATAAACTATTATGTTATGGTTTAACATAAACTACCAGCAGCATTAGCCTAATATAATATATGCATTAATTTAGTTTGTTGTTAATCATCATTAATATCATCTTTTCCTTGCCCATTTAGCAACACATGTCTACTGTTCTGTTTTACAATTTTAATTTTTCATGTGTACTAAGAACTTGATACACAGTGCACAATTCTTAACAATATATTAGAATAAACTAGAGGGTTATTTTCAGCTGTCTACTGTGCATATAAGGTGATATGCCAGTTGGACAAGAGTCAGGCATATTTTGTCTCCAAAATCTTGTTTCATTTAACCTAAGAGAATTATAATGTATAAATTAAAGAAATTTTTGTAGTATTTCATTTTATATTTTTTAAAATCATGCATTAAATGCAAACAATAGTCAGATTATTGGCTTTATAATTAAACAATACTAGAGTATAGGCATGATGTTTTTGTCAATGGGTGATTTCATATATATTATATGTGTATAGTTTGTTTCCATTTAAAAAAAGCAAACTGCTTAAGTAGTAGTAAGTTCAATTGTGATAAATTTCTACTTTGCATTCGTACACCAAAATAAACCATACTTTAAAAAAGTTTGTCAATATCCTTTAAAAGAAAAGAAGCATGCTTAAATATAAAACACAAGCTTTCTGTGAACTCCTTTGCTCTTCCTGTGAAAGACATACTTCTAAGCTGTAGCTGTACCTTTTTTATTGGCACATTTCTGAATATAAACACTTACATTTTATAGAACTCCATAGAAATGATTGGCCGAGAAAACATATAAATTATGTAAATTCTCTTAAGTTAAATTTTCTGTGGTTCATGCCCAACATTCAGTATTCGGGTTGAGAATTAAGTGCCCTTTTCAATGATCGAGTTCCCAAATTAAATTTCCTATACCGCATGGCCAGCTTTCTAAAAATCTACATCAGAAAGTATCTATTCTAAAGGGCTATCTATTCACCAGAACGGTTACCTTCAGGATAGCAAACTCAAAGGGCGTTAGGCTGAGTAATAAGAATATTTTTGACAATGGACTCGACGTGCATAACTGTTACACGATTCATCTCCTTCGGGTCTACATGTATTTCTGCTAAGTGGGTTGCTCCCCGTGGATCTATACAGTGGGGAGAGCAGAGGATCATACAAGAGGTATTTTAAAGCGTTCTGGTTTCATAGTGTGTGCCTGATGGACAGAATAAAATGTATTCCTCCAGCTATTCAAGCATGAGGGCAGGAGGGGTTAGATAAAAGGAGAAACAAAGGCGAGGCAGAATTAGATCCCAATAAATGCTGCAAACTTAGTGTACTTGTGCCTTGAATCCTTTTCTTTATCTCCAATTCATAATTCCATCAAAAAATCCTTATATTCTCCCCTTAGTCCCAACCCATTACAGCCCAGCCACCAAAGGGGCAGGATTCCACATACTGTCATGAACTTACACACACGCACACACACACGTGCACACACACAGATCTAAGCTGAGCCTTTGGTGCCATTGAAGAGAACTTAAGCATTTTAAGATGAAGAACTAAACTTACATTATCTGAGGTATGGTAAAAAAAATAATAAAAATTAAAAAGTGCAATGAATAAGAAAAATGAAAAAAAATCCACATGTTACAAATGGGCTATAAACACATTTATATTCATAAACTGCATTCAAATGGTTATGTCATTAATTAAAATAATAAAAGTAAGAAAATATGCTCAATGCAGAGGTACTTTAAAAAATAAAAAAACAAAAAACAAAAGTTAATAAAATATTTTATCTGCATCAAAATATTCTTTGAAAACCAAAAATAAAAATGTATCATGTATGTTCTTTCAGATTGAGCTGTAAAAGTCAGAAAAATACATGGTCCGCGCTGTTTAACTTTCTGAAAATACCGAGTATGCACTAAGCATAAAGCAAGAGGCTTTCCCCGTCTTCCAGACCTGAAGCAGTGTGCCCCCCATACTGGACAAAGAATTCCAGTTCAGTTCCTATCAGAAAACATCTTTGTTTCAGTCGCACTGAAACCCAGGACCTGACTTCGAGACAGTGTAGTCCAGCTGGAGCTGGATCGAACCGTTTTTCTTTTTCAGAGCTGTAAATACACCCCTGGAAACTCCTGAGGGCAAGGCCTGGTTTCTCACAAGGCCAAGATGAAGATTATCCAAAGCGAAACTTGAGTCTGTATTTCACGGTGTTGGGACTCTTCCGAGGGGCAGACACGGGCACCTTTGGCTTCCCAGGACTGGGTGGCTTTTTCTTCTCAGGAACAGTAACCGTGAAAGAAAGTTCTGGCTGCTCTAGCTGCTTGAATCTTGGCAGAAAGTGGGTGGAGATGTGCTGGGGTTTGACCCGGGGGCTGCAGCCCCGCTTAGCCTTCCCTCTCTTGTTGAGGGCCACATACCACTCCCGGCCCGCTGGCTCAGTTCTGTGTATTGCTGAGGCATAAGTATTATAGCTGTTTTCCTGAAATCGTTCCCTGAACTTGCAATCATCTGTAAATTTGGCCTGGGGGGAGAAAAGAAGAAGAAATATAAGTGGTAATAATATTTTCAGCATGCAATAAAATGAGGTCTTTGTAATGCTGATTTCGGTTTACTATGTACTTAGCGAAATAATATCAATGTATATAAAAAGGATAACAAGGAACTCTTAATATATTGAACTTCTGTTGTGGTTTTTAAATTACTTTGAGATTGCAGTGAAAAAATTAACTTTTAATATTTTAAGATTTTTTTTCCCCTCTTAAGCCATCAAGAAAATAAATAGAACTGAATTACTACGGAACACTTGCCTGGTAAAACATGAATTCATGTTCAGAGAAATGGGGTCATATTATTCCTTTGAAACAAGGATACATTTTTCAATGTTATCAGTGTGATTCATGGTGCTGAGAGAGGGGTAGCATATGGCCCTATTAATATTGCATGTGTTAGAGTTCTTTAGGAAAAAATATATCTTCACACAGAGATACGGGAGAGAATATTCGATGCCAAGAAGAAAAAATTACTTTTGGAGTCACTAGCAATACTTCATCCAGATCTCTCTCTGTCTCTCTCTCCTTCTGTAGACACAGACACACACACACACACATACACACACAAACACACACTCAGACAAACACAATGTCTGCCCTTGAAATGCTCCCAGAATAGTGGAAAAAGCAGACAAGTAAACACCCATCACGGTGCAGCTGCATACGGGGACTTATGACAGTGCTATGCAGAGGGTACAGCAATAGCATAGAGGAAAGGAATCTAAGAGGATGGGGGTGGCCGGGCAGAGGGCAGGAGGTCTTCCTACAAAAGATGACATTGGAGCTGAGTCTTCAAGTACAACAAGATTTTAGTAAGGCAGGTGACATGAGAACGGGTTCTCAGAGGGGGAACAGTGTGTCCACAGGTCGGCATGACACTACTATAGGTAGTAACTTTCCTATAGGATGTGTGGTGGAAGGAGGAAGAGGTAAGGCTGCCAAAGTTGGCCAGGAAGAGCTCTGAAGATGCTTATTTTGCCACGTTTGTGATGCTGATGATTTTCCGTTTACTGTGTACTTAGTGAAATAATATCAATGCATATAAAAATAACAGGAACCCTTAATATATTTAAATTCTGTTACTGGTTTTAAATTACTTTGAAATTTCCAGGTAAACAATTAACTTTTAACAGAAGATTATGTTGAGGAATTGGGGATGCCTGGATGGCTCAGTCAGTTAAATGGCTGCCTTCGGCTCGGGTCATGATCCCAGGGTCCTGGGATCGAGCCCCCCATCGGGCTCCCTGCTCCGCGGGAAGCCTGCTTCTCCCTCTCGCTCTGCCCCCTGCTTGTGCTCTCTCTCTCTCTGACAAATAAATAAATAAAATCTTAAAAAAAAAAAAAGAAGATTATATTGAGGAATTAAAGGGAAGTGTATGGGGGAAGAACATGAGCATAAAGTCAGGCCTGAGATCAAATACAAATCCTGCCAATCGAGGTCTTAGCTTTAGGCTCCTTATCCACAGTCCTTATTCATAGGGCTATTGTGAGTATCAAAGTATTTTTCTAGGGAAAAGATGGGTAGCTTTCATCAAATGCAAAAGAGGCCAAGAGTCCCCAAGAGTAATAATTCCTGTCCTAGACCAGACCACCATGTTTCATGGTATTGGTGAGCACCATTATCTGGAATTCCTGGGTTTGCCAATACCAAATATGTTGATGTCTATAGAGAAAAACACTACTTATGAGATACTCTTTTCATATCAGACCAAGAGGTACTATACTGGAAATAAGAGTTCTTTTTTTTTCTTGCTTTTTCTAATAGTGCCAAGCTTTTCTCTGCACAACACTGTCATCTGAAAGTCAGAACACCGCAAAGCAATCTACATAGATCTACTATTGATGGTCACATGAATTTTTTGACTTGTGCAAAGTACTGACAATATTGGAAGGCAACCAATTTCAGAGCGCTTCCAACAGCACATTAACGTTATGTATGACAGTTTACCCAGGTTATTTACATTCAAGCATAGTTCAATCAATAAGGCTCTTTATTTGAAGGCTAGCAAGTTATATATCTAGAACTTCCACAAGTCTACTGGTGATTCCCCGGATTTGATCTCTAGCAGCTGGAAGCGGGTGTTTTAAAGAACCACCACCTATGGCATTCCTCTCATCCTGTCATACCCTACCAGCCTAAGTCTAGGCCAAGGTCGCTGTGCTGATGTCACTATAGAAGAGTACACATTTACTGTTCCTATTTTTTTTTTAAGATTTTATTTATTTATTTGACAGAGAGAGACACAGCGAGAGAGGGAACACAAGCAGGGGGAGTGGGAGAGGGAGAAGCAGGCTTCCCGCAGAGCAGGGAGCCCGATGTGGGGCTTGATCCCAGGACCCTGGGATCATGACCTGAGCCGAGGGCAGACACCCAACAACTGAGCCACCCAGGTGCCCCCCTATCTTTTATTAAAAAGACTTTCTCACAAGTCAAATGTAGATTTTTTTTGTAGTTGCTTAGCTTTTTAAAAGACTTAAATGCTCTCCCATTTCATTAGATAATCCTAAAGTTTTATTTTAAAATAAAAGCTATAGCCATCTGTAATGTTTTCTGCTGCATAAAAGGATGAGCATTTTAGAAAGATATATGGGGTTTCATCAACGAGAGTAGCAGGTATGTTTCTCTGCCTCATATTTTTTTCTTCAAATGTACTTGAAAAACATTTTTAAAAATATATACATTATACCTTGACCTGACTTCTACTTTTGTTTGGCAAAAATCCATTTTCCTGAAAAAGGATAGCAGTGATTGCTTTATTCAATTTTGACAGGTTTTTTAAGTGTACTGTATTATTTAACCTTTTCTTTACTGACACGCACACACGTGCACACACACACACACACACACACACCATGGTGAATTAAACCTATAGCAATTCCATCTTAGAGTCTTCATATGGGTGAAAGCCCACCAACTCTACCTGCTAAAATTATTCCATCTAAAACCTTTCTCTTTTCCTCCTTAAGACTGATGTTCTTAAGCTCTTTCTTAAGAGGAAAGAAGGCTCTTTGGGCTCTAGATTTTTCAAGGGTCCACTAACTGTCACCTGGGGCAGAGGTGCCCAGAACCTAAGGACCCACACACTACGTGAAGCCCTGTAGCCCTTCCAGCTCCCACATTAGAATAGGAGTAAAGGCAGTCAGACTGTTTTGGCTTTCTTAATTGACTTCTAAATTAATGTTTTGTCTGAAAAATTCTTCCAGCTGCGACGGAACAGAACCATTTGAAACAAACATTTCAATGAATTTTTTCATCAGGAGATCTAGTTTCTTCTTGAGGGATTGATTGCCTCTGTCACTACTCCTGGCCTTGTTCAGACAAGATGGTGACCCTAAGCATGAATTTCTGTCCCTGATATCATGCATGAACCATTTTTATAGCAGAGAGTCAATAAGCAACATAGGTCTTAGCTACAGGTATTTAAATATATATACGTTTACCATTACACCATTTAGGATGATAAATTTTCCAGGCTTCTTTTAATTTTTTAAATCTCCTTTGAATTATAAGAAGTCCTTTGGCAAAACACATACTTTTTAAATAATAGGACTACATTATTTTCCTAGAAAAAGTGAAGTTGCCAGAAAGACTTTTTCTACAGTTAAGGTGTGAAGTAGAGAGGTGAATGAAATTTCCAAATAAGCTACTGAATTCTGGACCCCCATCACCGCATCGTGCTAGCACCATCAGCCATTACGAGACCAAATGCGAAAATGTTCCTAAAGAATCCATATCTTTGTCCCAAATTCATTTTTTACGAGTCTATTCAACAGATGCTTATTGACTATGTACCACATGTCAGGCACTGTGCTAGCTGTCACTTTTCCAATGAGGAACAATACAGACATGTCTGGTCCATGCTCTTTGTTGAGTTAAATTATATGTTTTTCTCCTTAATTTCTCCTTGATCTTGTGCGTGTAAAAACAAGGTACATTCAACACATCATAATTGCAAAATTACAATGAAATGTTCGGCTAATTTTTATGTAATTTAATACAATCCTAATGTAATTTAATATAGTCTTAATGGACAAAACAAATGAAACTTAAACAAATGAAACTATTTTTTGCCTGAATAGCCTAATTCTTCAGAGGAAGGGAAAGAGCGCAATTAAGGAAAACAAGAAATTTTTGATTAGAACGACGCTGTGCCTTGATTCTACTCATCTCTTCCCACAGTGAGAACACACAATGGATGTTTAGAAGAAAGGTCAAATTCAGTTCAAAGAAAGTAAAACTTTGATTAACTGGGATATTTTAGAAAAGACTAATTCTGCTTAATTGAAATCTGAGGGTCAAGTAAGCCAAACAGAAAATTCTTTCTGAAACGTTATTTTTTAAAAGCTTTCTAAAACCTCTTAACATAGTTTTGTTCCTTCGTAAATATCCTGTTGTATCATGATTGAGGATCTTGCAGTGAATGAGTTGAGGCCATGCAAACAAGCACAAATTCTCACTTCGTGCCACGACAGAAGTACATATGCAGTATACGGAAGGTGGATGGAGAAAGGAGTGAACTTGGACCAACACCGGTATAATCTTTGGAGTTTGTTGGGTATTTAATCAATTTTAGTTCTTTATTTCACTTTGTTTTCTTTGATTTGCCTCCTTCTTTTGAAAAACCTTGTGAAGAAATAATTAACCAAATACAAATAATTAGAATGTTATTGTGGGCTGGAATATTATTAAATAATTAAAATATTATTATAGACTATAATAAAAACAATTATAAACCAAATTGTACTTTAAGCAAAGTTCCCTTGCTGCATGCATCCCTGCTTCTGGTTCCCCTACCTCCTTTTAGTGCTTCTTGGGCTCCATCCCTAGTCCCACATATGGGGCTATCCCGGCCAGGTGCCCTTAGCCTAGGCCATTTTGTGTGGTTGTGCTGAATGTTCCCTGACCAAAGGCGCCCACCTCTGGTGGTGATTAAAGGCTAAAAGGCAGGCCCTGTTCCAGTTGCTTCCATGC